TACAACCCCCCAAAAGGGCATGAAAAACAGGAGCTCCCAAAGATTCCCAAAGTATATTGTGGCATTATCGACACACAAATAGTTTAGGTATATTTGTCCAAGCTCGGAACTGCACAATGCAAATATCTTGGCAGCTAGAATACGCTCATTGTTGCACATCCACCAGTGGACACGGCAATCCTGGTGGTTTGTGGGTCACAGCTCCAATTTCCAAGCAAGCAAATTGATTAGAATTTGTACCCTCAAAGGTTCTTGGCTCAAATACCATCAAATGCCAAGTGTTGGTATATGTAGGGTTTTGCCAAAGCCTTTGGATTTTGGATTTCAGCCAGGAGTTCTGACGGGAGTATGTCTCTTTGGTATCACATGCCAGGCATCCTTAGGTATGCAACAGATACTTTTTCAAGCAAACATGTTTGACAAAAGCAAACATCATGTGAACAAACATCGGCACGGCACATCACACGGAACTTTCTGGTGCCCAGCAAACATCCTTTGGAATCAGATGGTTAGGTTCATTCTCGCATTTGGGCCTGCTGGAGCCTGGAATTTGTAGCCAAGCACTGCAAGAAGCACATTTACTTCATTTCAGATGCTAGATGTTTGAGGCATGCGGAGAATGTTTCAAGGCAACTGCTTTGACCCTGATCAGCCCCAAAATACAGGCATTGGACATCTTCTGCAAAAGGAGATGGAACCAAATCAAGCCACTTGCATCTTGCCTTGGGACGCTGACGCTAGTTGATATATATATATATACACACATCCACGCATTAAAACCATGTGCAAGGCTCAAGGTGTTTGACCAGGGCAATGGGCACCTGCACGCTGCAAACAGAAGAATGAAACATAAAGAAGCTGAACATGGACCACTCCCTGACAAAGTTCTTCTACATTTCCACAAACCCTTAGTGTTCAGGATTGATGGAACACATCTCTTCATGGAAGTGGAGACACTTCACTTCTTGATTCAAACGATCTGCAAAGGTTCAATGACTTGGTGCCACAGCTGAAAGGAAGCGACTCATCGTGGACCGTTGAATCCATCAACGGTCCGACTCCGAACCGAGGTCGCACAAACCCGGGGTCTTCATGACGCCCGTAAACGGAAAAATATGGAGCCTGATGGCATGAACCTTTGGAAGAGGTTTATGTTTTTTTTTTTTTTTAACGGGGGGGTAGGCCGTAGCTAGGGGTAGGTAGCTAGTAGCTAGGGAGTCACTAGTAGCTAGAGGTAGCTAGTAGTAGCTTTTTCGCTTGCGCGCGCGCACGAAGAGCGCGCGGGCGCGGGGCGGGTAGGCCGCGACAGTAGCTATGTAGGTAGCTAGTAGCTTCAATAGCTACTATACTTAGGACGCAGGATAGTTCGCGCTTCTTCGGAAACTCCCAAGCTTCCTTGAAGAAGCGCTCGCACTCATGATTTGGTTCCTAGATTTTTAGGGAAACTTCAGCACAATGGTTTTCAGCTTCCATGTGGGTCTCTTCCAGGGCATAGCAGGCATTTGCTGGAGGAATCAACGACTGAACGACGGAACGGGACATGCGCTGATGGGTTCGAGCCTTGGGTTTTTTACTCCTCGTGCGGGCTTGAGGTCTTTACTCCTCACGTGGTAACATAACGTACCTTATAGATCCTCATGTAGCTCATGCGGATACATTCATGCAGATATCACGGCAAACTGGCCGCCTAAGGACCCTATTGGGGGACTTCCTACTTCTTTGGGTAGATTCTGTTCCAGATCTCATCCCAGTGGTCCGCGCACCTCAGTTCACACGGCATCCCCCCGCGAAGCCGGGTGGTGCACGCAGCATCCCTTGCTTTGGTCCACCGGATTCCGTATTTTTGGAGGGGGAAAGTGTATGGGACATGGGGACATGTCGTCAGGGTATGTTTTCAGCACCAGGGGACATATATGACATATTATGACATATTCCATAAACAACTTACTAAACTAAGCTCCAACAACAACATAAACTTACTACAGCCGTGCAGAAAGTGATGGGCGTGGCTGGTGCGAGATGCATACAATGACAGAATGCTATTATACCCAGAACCCAATTGACCCGTTTTTGATACGAAAAACATGTATATAGTTGGGGTGCTTGGTGATCCAAAATAGCGGTGATTCAGCTTCTAGGTCTTAAACACATATTATATACTGTATACAATATATATAGATATATGATAAATATACTTTGGCCAAAGGATCGGACTGAGTGCTTGAGGTACAGAACCCCGGACTACCCGTACTACTGCGATCTACTGCGTATATCCATGTTTCCCGGAACCGCTGCTCTTCCGCTCTATCCGAGCACCTCAGGACAACAACATACCCTAGGGATCCACTGCCACCCTTTGAGAAGGTGATTGAACTGCTATGTAGGCGCCAGGAGCGTCCAGTCGTACCGAACCTAAGAAGGTATGTGGATCTCTAGACATACTACAACCATCCCTAAATGGTTCCTTCCTTCCTTCCTTCCGTCCTTCCTTCCTTCCGTCCTTCCTTCC